TCTCATGCTCCTTGAACCACTCTAAAACTATCTGTGCCCGAGGAATACTGGCGTTGCCCTTTTGTAATATATCCGTGCCATCAGGGAAGATGGAATAACCTGGTCATTCAGGATATTCGGGTAGTCAACTGACCTCATTCTCGGAGCACATCGTGTTGCTGAAGCTAGACCTGATCAACTGCAGCTAGCCCAGATCATAACACTGCCCCCACAGGCTTGTACACTAGACATGATGGGTGATCACTTCATCTGCCTCTCTTCTTACCCTGAGGCACCAGCATTCTGGAACAGCGTCCATCTGGACTCAGACCAGTTTTAAACGTTGGACAGTTCTTAACCCAGTTTTAGTCGTTTCTGCATCTCCTTAGATGTTTTCTCTGCATGATGCCAATGATCTGGCCTTTCTCACACAGACTAACATCTTCTCCACGACCACCAGATGTGCCTTTCTACATGGTTGTTTAAGAAATGAGAAGCAGCTCATTGCACCAGTTGGGTTAAATAACTTGTTGCAACCGGTGCAATAATTATCCAATAGAAGGCTGCTTAGTAAAATCCAGGTGGAGACTTTATTTAGTCTAGGCAGTGTGTTTTTGGTTTAAAGTGGTCCCTCATCTATCGCCAGGGTTACGTTTTAAAAATAACACACAGAAGGCAAAATCTGTCAAGCAGCCAGCTTTATTTTAACAGTAATTATAGACGTTTTAAGGCTGTTGAACTCCTCACTACTCACTTTATTAACTTTTCTCAGACAGGCATTAACATTCTCACACGTTTCTCTCTTGTTTAAACACTCTCAATGCCCTAATCCGGATGCAGGACACAATACGCTGTAAAAAAAAGAAATAAACATGCAAAATTCTGCTACAGTTAAGAATTGTTTTCAGGTGTATTTATTAGTTTGTACTTAAATTATTTACCAAAGTGAGCTGTTTGTACACTTTTATGGGCTGTCTGAATGTTTTTCCTCACAAAAACACAGCTAGAACAACGGACTGTGATTATATTATGACCATGGCAGCACCAAGAAAACAATAAAACATCCAGATGCGCCACCCCATTTGTTTCGCTTGGTTCTGGTCCAGCACTCCACTCCTGTCCTGCCCCTGCTTGCAGCTACCACTGTAACTAAAACCAGGAGAAACCTTGGATGTGTACTCACCAAGCAAAGACTTCTCAGATGTCACATTTAATGCTTCCCCCCTCCAGCCGTGGGCCTTTTCTCGTTTTAAATAGAAATTGTTCAACTGTTACTGGCGTGTATGTTTACCGCTAGCTTGTTCAAATGGTGGCCGGCTCCAGACAATTATTAGTTCTTTTCTTGTCTAGAGCTGCTTCTCCCAATTGCTGATAGGTAATCTTTTCTGTTTGTCTATCTTTTCTATTTTCTGATTTTCGTTAATGTCATTTGTAGTTGTGGCCTTTTATTAATCAATGGAAATAAATTCACAAGACAGCGGAGGCAAGAAACAGCTAAGCTGTAAAGCCGCAAAACAGCAACGTTGCGAAACTGCAAAGCTGTGAAACTGCAAAGCCGCGCAACTGCAAAGCCGCAAAACTGCAAAGCCGCAAAACAGCAAAGCCGCAAAACTGCAAAGCCGCAAAACTGCAAAACCGCAAAACTGCAAAGCCGCAAAACTGCAAAGCCGCAAAACTGCAAAACTGCAAAGCCGCAAAACTGCAAAGCCGCAAAACTGCAAAACCGCAAAACTGCAAAGCCGCAAAACAGCAAAGCCGCAAAACAGCAAAGCTGCAAAGCCGCAAAACTACAAAGCCACAAAACAGCAAAGCCGCAAAACAGCAAAGCTGCAAAGCTGCAAAGCCACGATACTGCAAAGCCACGATACTGCAAAGCCGCAAAACAGCAATGCCGCGAAACTGCAAAGCCGCAAAACAGCAAAGCTGCGAAACTACAAAGCCACAAAACAGCAAAGCCTCAAAACTGCAAAGATGCAAAGCTGCAAAACTGCAAATCTGCAAAACTGCAAAGCCAGAAAACAGCAAAGCCGCGGAAAAGCAACGCCGCAAAACAGCAAAGCTGCAAAACAGCAAAGTCGCGAAACTACAAAGATGCAAAGCCGCAAAACTGCAAATCTGCAAAACTGCAAAGCCAAAAAACAGCAAAGCTGCAAAACAGCAAAGTCGCGAAACTGCAAAGCCGCAAAACAGCGAATCCATGACACAGCAAAGCCGCGTAAACAGTGAAGCAGTGACACAGCGAAGCAGCGACACAGAGAAGCCGCTAAACAGTGAAGCCACGAAGGGTTGACCGCGTTATAGCGAGGGAACACTGTTAACCTGAAAAAATACAGATTTTTGACTTGATTTCCCTGCATGATAAAAGGAACTCTAAACATGTGGTCCTCAAATAACTTTTTGTCTTATATACTTTTGTTTCTTTGTAAAATCAGGGACATGAAAAGACCCAGACGAATGTTGGAATTTACTAAAGCTCTACTTTCAGGTTTATTTATTTAGCCTTTTTATTTATCTATTTATATTTATTGAATTGTGATGTATTAAATATGTCTTGTTGGAAATTTTTCTTCCTCTTTCTGTTTTTCAAATTCTAATAGATTTAAGTAGATTTTTAAAAAATTTAAACATTGATACATTTCATTGGCAGCAGATCTGAATACCACACGTTTCTCTGAACTGGAAGTCCGGACTTCCTCAGTAGTTCTCAGATGTTGGGTAAATGTTTGGTAGCAGATGTGTGTGACTCAGTGTATTTTCATGGTATGTTGTGAGTTTGCATGTCAGAATGCGTCCACATGTGTGAGAGAGACTCTGGGTGTCTCAGATGTTCTTCACAGTTCATCAGCGCTGACATCTGGCCAAACAGCTGGACTCATCTGGAAAGATACAGAGGACAGTTTGTGTTCTCTGTTCTGTTCCCAGTTTTTTCTTTTGTTTTCCCCTGTTTTCATGTTCTCCTAAAGTGGGTCAGTTCAGACCCAGACCTGGCTTCTTATCTGAATCTGGTGCCCTTGAGCCTGTGAGGGTGGTGATTACTCCCCCTCAGAAGAAATGTGGAATGCTGCCGTCGCTATGGCAACTCCGTCTCCCTGTCCCAGCCTGGGCGGGACTGAGACCGGTGAAGGTTGTGGAACCGTTACCAGGAGTCACTGTGCTTTCTAACCCAACTACGTCCCTCCCATGTCCAAACGGAGGTGACGAGCGCTGCTCATTGCGGCTGCATGCACTGATTCCAACCAGGGCACCTCCAGCGATGTTTAACCGGTCCCGGGAAAACGTTGAAGGAAAAGAGGTAAACGAGCAGGAATCCAAGTGACAATTTGACTTCTCTTAAAGTGTGGTTTATCTAGTAAACATCGGCGTGATCTTCTAGCCTCTTTCCCTTTGTTTGGTGACCTGAGCGCCACTTCCGCATTCCCCCCAGGCTGCGTTGCGGCGCGGTTTCTCTGTCCAAGTTTTTTAAGGTCGGTTTATCCTCATACCTCAGTGGTTTCTCCTCCTGTTCACTCCAGAAGTGGTTTCTATAAACACCGTGGACCTAACCCTGCTAATTTACGTCCACTAACTCCAGCTGTTTCTGTAGTTTCTGATACCTCCACCTCACTCAGCATGGCTCTACTAAACACCTGCTCTGTTAACAATAAGCCCTTCCTGCTCAATGATTTAATTCTCTCTAAAAACCTGAATTTTCTGTTTCGGACTGTTTGGCAGCAAACATCTGATTATTCTGGTCTGATTGAACTCTGCCCGAGTGGTTATTCTTTTCTTAGCCAGCCCTGGGGTTCTGGTCGTGGTGGAGGCCTAACTGTTGTTTTCAGAGACCATCTTCCATGTAGCTCTACAACCTCTGGTTACTTTGCGTCCTTTGAACTGCAGCTGATTAAAGTCGGGCGTAAGGACCCGTTCTACTGTGCTGTGGTCTATCGTCCACCTGGTCCAAACAGTTCTTTCCTTCAGGAGTTTAGTGACTTTCTGTCCTCCACTGTGAAGCTGTCCAGACTGGTGATTTTTGGTGATTTTAACATCCACGTTGTTGATCCCTCTGATCACTTTGCCATGAATTTCTCCAGCCTTATGGACTCCTTCTGCTTTACCCAGCATGTTTCTGGTCCCACACACACCAGGGGGCACATTCTCGACCTTGTTTTTACCCTGAGTTTAAATGCTGACAGTGTTTATCCTGAGGACGTTTATATTTCAGATCACCATCACAGCCTCCATCCACTCTGTTGCACACTCTGGACCTATAGTCCGATACACTGGTTTTGGGCCGATATCGAATTACTTCCGATTTCGATATCGGAATGGGACATCCCTATATATTTATTTATTAGTTATAATATCAGTAAAAATTACATTTCTGTCATAACAGCAATATTAACACCAGATATTGATATTGGCCCAAATTTTTACATAATCACATCCCTATTGTTCAAAAAAGTGAGTCGGGCCATAAAATGTTTTGGTACAGACATAAATGTCACTTATCTGATGTTTGGACCTTGGTACTTGTCCTGTTTTTTTTTATTCTTGTCCTCTATTTAAACCTTTAAATAAAAAAAAAATCTCTGAATTTACATATGATTTAATAAAAATGTACAATTTCATTATATTTTTATTTACTGGCTGCCAAACTATGACCTTTAAAACCTCATTTCATCCTTAAATGTGCACGTTCTGGAGCATCAACAAGGAATATTATGCCCTGCCTCAACATGTTACAAAACACTCGTAGGTTTTACTTATTCTTGTTAAGTAACATGATGGGGAAAATATAACCCACAAATATCATTTTATGCAATTATTTTGCTAATTTTGTTAAACAAAAGATCTACTTGGATTAAATGCTCCAGAATAATTACTGATGACCTTGTTGCAGGTGAAATACAGGCTTCGGTTGTCTTAGCTGCAGGAAAAATGACATGATCTTAAATATTTGCAGTAATAAACCTGAATTTAGAGCAGAATTCACTGATAATTCATAATAACTCTAACACTGTGTTTTATTATCATTTATTTCACAAAATTTGTGCTTCGTTTCTGTTTTCCAGGACTGTTCCCTGCCGTGTTAAACCTGGCCACTATGGCAGACATCACAGCCAACGCCACCTGTGGCTCCACCAGTCCAGAGATGTTCTGTAAGCTGGTGGAACACGTACCGGGCCAGCCTGTGAGGAACCCACAGTGTCGAATCTGCAATCTCCAAAGCACCAACTCATTTGGTGAGAAAGATTTATAATCTGCCAGATTACAGCAACTAATCATGCCAGATTTCCTAATTAGAGCACGACTGTGCAGATGTTAATCGATTGTTTTGTCTGAAGTGATAATTATGGAACAAGTTGATGAATCAGTCAGAAGATGACAAGTTGACGGTGCAGAATTAGCCTGCAGTCGTTATTCAGTCGTATTATGATGGATCAACAACTCAATAAACCGCTCAGCCAATCACGCAGAGGGAAACAAGTGTGTCTGACAGTCAATCACTGAGTCGTTAACTTCTATGAAGCAATTATCTGGTCGACAAATCAGCGGTAAATCTGCTAGTCGACCTTTGTCAGCTAGAATGAGGTGAAAGATACAAGACTAGCGTTTTTATTAACCTGTTTTAGGTTTTAGGTAAACTCCTGTAATCTTACTTTATGCCCCGTAATGTTTTACTTGTTCTGCAGCAGTATATCTTTTTTCTCTTCAGTTTTTCTGCAGCTTTTTAGATTCTCCCCATCGTTTTGTACTCCCTCTCTTTAGCAGCATCTTGCTGTTTGTTTCTTGTCCTTTTTAAGTCTTTTGCCTTAACATTTGCCAAGTCAAGAGGCTAACGTTGAGCTAACAATGCTAACTGTGAATTAGAAGCAAACAGTCGGCTCAAATATGAAATGGAATACCAACAACTGGATATTACAGTGAAATGTGTGTGAGTCAGTCGGGGTGTTTTACTTCCTTTAATGAGTCGTTCAGAACTATAACAGCACGGTGGCAAACAACCTCACTTCCTGCAATCCCTGATAGATATTACCATATTAAGTGTAGAAGGTACACCCTATCGTAAAACACCCACGAGCGCCAACACCAGGCATGATAATGTCTTTAACTACATATCGACTTCCCGTGTATGACTCGTCTTTGCTTGTCATCCAGAATCTTCTGATTCTGAACCGTAACTGACAACAGGCATACAACTCACGGAACGACAGTGAAAGTAATATTTTGCTTAGAAAAAATGTGCTGCAGTATCAGATTTGACCACAGGATGCCACTATTACCTCATTCTTACATACTGCACCTTTAAATCAAAGCACTTTCAATTTGACAATTCAACCATTCACCTTTTTGAACAATACCCTGATTGCACAAAAAACTGCTAAAATAAAAAACAAAATCTAAAATATTGAGATGTTACATTTTCTAATTTAAATAATTCTCTAGATTTATATTAACTTAAATTAATGTTTTCATCATCATAATGATATTATTGTTGTTGTTGTTGTTATTACAATCTTATGCTATATTTACCCCCTAATGCCCTAAATTAATTTAAAAAAATGTTTGTTTGTTTTTTTGCTTTTTCTTCTTTTTGTGAAGCTAAAGGATTAAAGCTCCTAATATTTGATTGGACTTTAACACATTTTTAAGAAGGGTTTCCTGTAAATTCATTCACCTAAAAAAGGGAAGAAAGGCTGAAGTCCCAAAACATCATGAACAAATTATAAGCACTAACACAAAACCATAGTTACAAGTATCTAGTCACACCCTGTCCTGTCTCCCCATTTGGTTCAGCCTGCGTCTTTGTTAATTGCTTCCACCTGCCTCTCGTTTTCCAATCACCCAAGCTCCCAGCCCTCTTGTATTTAAACCCCTCCAGTTCTGTGTGTCTTGTTGGCTCATTGTTCCCATGTCCTGCGTGTAGGGCTGCAACAACGAATCGATGAATTCGATGAAAATCGATTACTAAAAGCGTTGGCAACGAATTGCGTCATCGATTCGTTGTGTTGCGCAACTCTTCCAAAAGCCCCCTCCCCTCCCGCCCGCCGTTGCGCGCAGACCGGTGGAGAGCCGGCAGGTGTTTGTAAGAGGAACATGGCAGAAGCAGCGAGACCCCAAAAAAGTTAAAACTTCTAAAGTTTGGGAGCATTTTCAGGTAAATCAGGCGAAGACATGCAACGTTTGTAGGTCAGACTTAGCATGGCACGGGGATACTACGGAGATGATGCAGCGTCTTAAACGCAAGCATGTCAGAATCATCAGCGAGGAAGGAGAGAGCTCGGTGTCCGGGTAAGTTAAAAACTTTTCAAAAGTGATTCACCCAAGCCCCGGATTATTACACAGGCTAGACATGCCCTAAGCTCTTTACAACCACAATGTCCTCAGAAGCGAAAATGCTTTTAAAAGGGAGGGAGGAGTCCTAACTGTTGCTGCAGGCGTGTTGTGTGAGTGTAGTTATATACTGGTTAATATATTTTTGGGTTCAGTTGCTTTCATGTGGCCTAATGTGAGTCTATTTGGGATCATTGGAATGATCAGCAGCATTTCTTGATGTGACTTTATGGCAGTTGCCCAGGGCATCATCGCAAGGAGGGTGGCATTCATTTACTTTTGTTTTATTTGGTATTTTTCAGTCATTTTTGGAAATAGTGATTAATTTTGATTAATTCACAGCCTATGTTTAATTACATTTAAAAATTAGTTGTTTGACATCCCCAATTATAATAAATGTCTACAGATGAGATCAAACAAAACAGATGAGAATTGCCCTTAAAGAGCAAGTCACCCCCAAATAAACTTTTTTTTGCTGATAAACTAAATAAACGAGTGTCTAATCGTGCTGCAGACACGTGTTGTCAATAATTTGGCACTTCAGTGCATCTTAGTTAAAATTTAAATATTCTGCTTAAAACTGGCAGTGTTGTGCCGTTGTCAGGTAAAAACTCTGCACTGTATTTTAATTTAAATCTGCCACCGCTATTGGCTAAGAAGTATGCTATGATGTAAACTGGTACATTATGATGTCACAATGCTGTCGTGAGCCTGAGTGTGTGTGTATTTGTTAGCGGCTCCGCCCTCTCGGTCTGCCAGGCATGTGTTGCATTTTTCAAACATGAAGCGGGAGTGGAGTTAGACTCTGGTAGGGGTTGACTTGCTCTTTAAGCTGTTTAATTTGGACCAAGCATTTTAGGTCACAGATAGTTGTAGCTTAGGGTCTCTGTCTATACGCCTTATAAGACAATTTAGGTGATGGCATGTTGTTTTTCTGCTATTGAACTGTTTTCTAATAATGTGTTTAATAAAGTGAAGGAAGGAGAAAAATAACGTTTCCCTGGCAGTTTTTAAAAATGTCCCTATGTAATCCGATTAATCGATTAATCGTGTCGAGACCCCATCCGATTAATCGATTATCCAAATAATCGTTTGTTGCAGCCCTACCTGCGTGCGTTTGTTATTAAAACCTTTTACGTTACCCAGTTTGTCTACCTGCCTGATTCCTCCCCAGCGTGTGGATCCTCACCTCCGTTCCACTCACCGGCACGTCGTGACATAATGAGCCAACCCACAGAAGGATCCAGCGGGGAGGTTATCCCTTGGGAGAACCTGCTCCAGTTTCTTGCCGTGGACCACCGGCCGGCTCCTCTTCCTCCTCGCCGCGGACGCCGCCACCGAGCCCGGGCCTCAGCGATCCTCTCCACCCTCCCGGAGCTGGATGGAGACTTGGACGGGGAGGCGCAGATGGACCGCTCCTGCTATGTGGGCACCAGACTGGCTGTGTGCTCCCCTGGAGTTGGCCCACGGCATTGGGAAGGATGCCGGGCTCCACCGTCACCCCTTGTCCCAGGACGGAGCCGCAAGCTCGCAGCTGCCCCGGCTCTGCGCGCCAGCTTGGATCCGCCCCCAGTCAGACCACTAGTCCCATCTCCGGTCCAATCAGCACCCCCGTCATCTGCAGGCGGAGGAACCACGCCTACAGCCCAGCTGACAGAGCTCGCCGGTCTCCTCCCCGTATCTCCAGGAGAAGGTTTCTGTCCAGCCAGCGGCCCCGCCTCCGGTCCAGTCAGCAGCTCTCTCGTCTCCAGGCCAAAGGACCAAGCTCGCAGCCCATCCAACAGAGCTCGCCAGTCTCCGAGCTGAGCTGGTCCGACTCCGTCAGATCCTCAGTCTCCAGGAGTTCCAGCTGGACAATCTATCCTCCCTGTTTTTCCAGTTACCGGTTCCACCAGGTCCCACTCCACCAGTCCAGTCAGCACCAGGTCCCGCGCCACCAGTCCAGTCAGCGCCAGGTCCCGCCCCACCAGTCCAGTCAGCGCCAGTTCCAGCGGTGGTCCAGGACGCTCCGCCCCTGGGCCAGCCTGTCCAAGAGGCTCCGCCCCCAGGCCAGCCTGTCCAGTGGTCAGCGCCCAGTCCGGCGGCACCAGCCAAGGAAGCGGTCCTGACTGCAGGGGCTCCGCCTCCACTCCAGAAGTCGTGGCCCCTCCTGCAGCGGCTCCGCCTCCACTCCAGAAGTCGGCGGCCGCTCCTGCAGCGGCTCCGCCTCCACTCCAGAAGTCGACGCCTCCGGTCCAGAAGTCGATGGTTCCGGTCCAGAAGTCGACGGTTCCAGTCCAGAAGTCGACAGTTCAGGTCCAAAAGTCAACGGTCCAGGTCCAAAAGTCGGCGGTCCAGAAGCCGGCGCCTCCGGACCAGAAGCCGACAGTCCAGGTCCAGAGGTCAACGCTCCTTCCAGTCCAGAGGTCGACGCTCCTTCCAGTCCAGAGGTCGATGCTCCTTCCAGTCCAGAGGTCGACGCTCCTTCCAGTCCAGAGGTCGACGCTCCTTCCAGTCCAGAGGTCGACGCTCCTTCCAGTCCAGAGGTCGACGCTCCTTCCAGTCCAGAGGTCGACTCTCCTTCCAGTCCAGAGGTCGACTCTCCTTCCAGTCCAGAGGTCGACTCTCCTTCCAGTCCAGAGGTCGACGCTCCTTCCAGTCCAGAGGTCGACGCCCCTTCCAGTCCCGAGGTCGACGCCCCTTCCAGTCCCGAGGTCGACGCCCCTTCCAGTCCCGAGGTCGACGCCCCTTCCAGTCCCGAGGTCGACGCCCCTTCCAGTCCAGAGGTCGACGCCCCTTCCAGCCCAGAGGTCGACGCCCCTTCCAGTCCCGAGGTCGACGCCCCCTCCAGTCCCGAGGTCGACACCCCCTCCAGTCCCGAGGTCGACGCCCCCTCCAGTCCCGAGGTCGACTCCCCCTCCAGTCCAGCGGTTGACGTCCCCTCCAGTCCAGAGGTCGACGTCCCATCCAGTCCGACGTCTCCCCCTCCAGTCCAGAGGCTGACGTCTCCTCCTCCAGTCCAGTGGTTGACGTCTCCTTCTCCAGTCGTCGCCTCCTCCTCTGCCACAGACGCAGGCCCCCAAGAGCCCGTCGTCGCCTCCTCTGCCCCAGACGCAGGCCCCCGGACTCTACTGGTTCCTGCCTCCTGTCCATCGGCCCCTCGGCCCCTCTTGGCCCTCCCTCCGGATCCCCCTCCTCCCGCCCTGCTCTGTGTTCCTATGGGCGTCTGGAATCCACCCTCTGGGGGGGGGGGGGTACTGTCACACCCTGTCCTGTCTCCCTATTTGGTTCAGCCTGCGTCTCTGTTAATTGCTCCCACCTGCCTCTCGTTTTCCAATCACCCAAGCTCCCAGCCCTCTTGTATTTAAACCCCTCCAGTTCTGTGTCTCTTGTTGGCTCATTGTTCCCATGTCCTGCGTGCGTTTGTCATTAAAACCTTTTACGTTACCCAGTTTGACTACCTGCCTGATTCCTCCCCAGCATGTGGATTCTCACCTCCGTTCCACTCACCGGCACCATATCTGTAGATTTTTATGTGAATTTTTAGTAATGATTGTGTATTTTTTGCCTTTCTGGAGATCAACTCGACACCCTCAGCTACAGCTGCTCATAACCAAGTCCTCGCTCCAACTTTGAGAAACACCGTTTTAAAAACGAATCCACATGGTCTCTGATAGACACATAGGGATTGTATTTAAAGTTTTCCTTTCATCGTTTTTTGGTTTCTGCATTCTGATTTTGTTTTTAGCCTTTAGATAAACGATAGACATAAAAATGTTTTTCCTTCTTTTTAAAAATAAAAATGTCACATGAGTTTCCAGCTAATTAGCAGATGACATTCAATCTGAAAACACAGTTTCTCAGAAATCTCTGCTCACACACTTAAGCACTCAAACACTTCTGGATCCACGTGCTACAAAAACCAGCATAGTGAATTTTTGCTGCATGATAAACAAAGAAAATGTTTTATTTACCTGCCATTGCTTTCATTGTGGAGCAGTTGCAGTAGTTAGACACATAGGGCAGAGTTAGATTGGCAGAAGAATATTTAAAAAGCCACCATGAGCACAATAAAGGAGTTAAACAATAACGTTGTTCTTTTTCTGTTCATCCAGAGCGACATCCCATCGAATACGCCATAGATGGAACCAACCGTTGGTGGCAAAGCCCCTCCATTAAGAACGGGATGGAGTATCACTATGTGACGATCACACTGGACCTGAAGCAGGTAGAGAACTGGAGAGTTGAAGGGAAAACCCAAATGACAGTTTTCATTTCTGTGCATTTGTTTTAATAGAAAAACAAGACTATTGTAAAAATGTACTGGTTAATACAAGATTTTCCTATTCAACACGATCACATTAAGTACTTAAGACGAGTACTTTCCATCATTTGAGGAGCTTCAAGTATTCCTGCTATGAATCTTTTCTCAGAAAGGAAACTTCGCTTCATCTTATATGAAGAGAACGCAACTGCAAAGGTCAGGTTTCTGATGATGGCCATCTTTCATTGTAACACATAGACTCTGGGCTTGTGCCCACATTTATTACTACTGCCTTGAATCCTAAATGGCTTTAGCTTTTCCCTTCTGTTAAAAATAAAAAGTTTTCTTCTTTATGTCATTCAGACTCCGTTTTATCTTTAAACACTCAGATAATGTAGTAAGAGAGATGTGAAACAGCTCAGAGATACAGAAGGAGAGTTGCAAATCTATGTAAAGATAAAAGAAAATCACTTTATACAGATGCATGATGGGTGCCTCATCCTGGGAAGTTTGCTAACATGAAATTTGTGTATGAAAAAATAGTTTTACCCTCAGATTTATATTAATTCATGTTGTTGTGGTTCTCAACTTGAGTGTATTTCTGATTATACTAGTCACTGGTATTCCCAGTGATTTTGCGTGTGTGTGTGTGCATGCAAGCCTGCTGGGACTTGTTTCTTCCTAACAAGAAGCATCTTGAATCGCTGGATAGATCTGAATAAAACTAAGAAGTTATCAGTCGATTTACGTCTACAACTTGTTATCTTTTGCAGTCAACCCGACCCAAGATGGCTGCCACAGCCGATGAAAATGAGCAAAGGTGTTACGGGTGTGTCCAAGTCCACAGGACTCGTCCTTCTCGGTCTGGTCTATCCTTGGCTGTTCAGACCAGAAATGAGCGGCTGTGACAGTCTAGGCTCGTATTAATTCCCGTCCCTCCCTCAGCGTATGTCTTGTTGCCTAGCAACGGGCAACGGTGGCAGACGAATTAAATGTCCGCACCGTAATTGAAAGGTTGCAGGTTCAATCCTCTCTCAGTCTGTTGCTGCTGGTAGTGTTCGGAGGGACCGGTGGCGCCAGTGCTTTGTGGACTCCCCAGGGCCGCTGTGGCTACATCGTAGCTCGTCACCGCCAGTGTGTGAATGGGTGAATGGCTGATTGTGTTGTGAAGCGCCTTGGGGGGTTGTAGACCCCTAGAAGGCACTAAATCAAAAACAGCCCATTTCACCACTTAGTGTTAATTCCCACCCCCACCTCAGTGTCTGTCTTGTTGCCTAGCAACCCTGACAGCACTGTTGAATAAATATGGGACCAGTCAAATGAGCTCGTTTACAAGGATTCTTCATATTGTTAAACTATAGTTAAAGCACAAACATGCAAATGATTTAAAAGCTCAACAAAACAAGTTATTATATGTTTTACATGCCAGATATTAATAAGCTAACATTTAAAACCCTCCAGCTTCATTCACCATTATTAGAAGGTCAGACATCTCCTGTTCGGCCTTTCGTGAGTCCTGGGATAGCCTTCGGGATAAATCCTACCTGTTCTCAAAAATTTGGGGGAACGAGGACGCATTTGGAGCATCCTTTGATTTCAGACAGCTTTGTCGCTTTGCTTGGATGTAATCAGCCTTATAATGCAGCCTTGGAAGGATGCAAACCCTGGATTCAGACAGGTGGTGACTTTTAATTTAATGTAGTTGAGAGTCGTTCACAACACGTACTTTCTGTGCTGATGACTCACGTGAGAGCTAACTAACCCTTACGTAAGATCCCTCAAAATGCTGTTCCAGATTTGACCAATACAGTTGAATTCTTCATTCTTAATATAAGATAATCTGATTTGAAATCTCTGGAATGAAAGTTGGATTGTGTTCCTTTAAGGAACCTTTACTAGATAGAGCTTTAATCATTACCTGTAAGGTGTCATGTTCTGGAGTCTGTACTAAATCCAGCTGAAGCTGCCGTCAGTTGTTTCAGCTGCAAACAAACTATTTAAATCCGCTTTGACATCAATCGCTTATGTTTGTGTGCATCCCTCATCAAATTAGGGATTGTACCAACTAGTCGACTAGTCGATTTCACTGCTCTGTAGTGACTTTTTATCTCTTTCATAGACTAGTTGCTGTCACATGATAATGACCGACAAGATGGAGGCCTCGGAAAAGACAGCAGGTGACGAGCCCCTGCGCGTCCGGAGGCGACGCGCTGTGCCAGAGCGTCGGTATCTGACGCCCGTGGTAAAACGGACATTTGACTGAATTGTGACCTTTACCCTCTTGCAGTTTAACCTTCCCCTCACCCCCATCCGAACCTTAACCAGCTTGCACATGCAAAGCTTTGTTTCGCTTTTCATCGTTCCTCTCAAACACGCTTAACGGTAAATTTAGACTGACATACTGGGTAAAGGTTAGGGTGGGGGTGAGGGGAAGGTTAAATAGCAAGAAGGTTAAGTTCACAGTTCAGTGAAATCTCCATTTTACCGTGGGCGTCAAAAAGCGATGCGCTGTGCGAGAGCGTTGCCTCCCGACGTGCGTCGGAAAAGAAACGCTTGGTCACTCATCGTCAGGTTTTGCCGCTTCAGGTGTATGACGTCATCAACGATTAGTCAAAGTCGACTAGATTTTCATTACTTGACTGTCGACTTTAAAAAAAATTAGTCATGCAGCCCCTACATCAAATATGGTTTCATGACGAGCAGGAATTTCTCTGAATGATGGGCTGGCACAGGGCAATTTAACACAGAAGTGTGATTACACAGACAATGCCGTCGCATTAAAGAAAGTCAAACAAATAGGGTGGTTCGCTGACAAAAGGCCAGTACAAAAGTCCTTTTAGGAATAAAGTTAAGCACGTGAGTAATAAAACGCAAATATTCATTCAGAGAAAATAAGAAATGGTTTGAGATGAAGATCCGGCAGGGAAAAAAATAAATAAAAATACCATCAAGAAAAGTTTTTTATGAAATAAAATACAGGTCTTAACAAGGGATGTCCCGATCAGTTTTTTTTGCCCTCGAGTCCGAGTCATTTGATTTTGAGAATCTGCCGATATCGAGTCCCGATACGATACTTTCGATACATAAAAAAAAATGAAAGAAAAGGAAGAAACAGTTCCAGAATATTCTTTATTTTTTATTTAATTACCTTTTTATTTTAATTTTTAACAACAGGTCACTTCTGTGAGGTAGCTTGAACAATCAAGTAATAAATATCATAAATTCTTCACTTTTGGACTTTATTGCAAATATAAAAAGTCTAATATAAAAACAGATACCACTTCAACCTAACATACATGGCAGGGGTCTATTTTGCCTCGGGCCCCAAAATGCTTAGATAAGTCCCTGGACATGGGACGGAGTTTTGGAGATGATCTGAATGGTATCAACTATATAAATACTACATGCTGATAAATTATTGCTTTATACAGGTACAAACGTGTAGTGGGATAAATCTACCTACATTTTATTTTTTAAGAACTTAGTTTTGTTTTATGGTTTTTATTTTCCTATCTTCCTGTCCTGTCTGTCTCTGATCTTCCTGCATCTCCCAGTCCAACAGAAAAACTCCTGCCTGCTTCCTTCTTTTTCACCTCACAAGTAACTTTTTAACCAGCAGATCAAATTGATCTATTGACCGCAAAAAAGCGAAGTGTGCGCCGCGCTGCCCGGCTGTCAGTGACGAGCGCTGCAGCGCGAGCGCGTCCACACGTCATGCTCAAATACAGACAGAACTTACCAGAGAGAAAATGAACGGACACGAATGACTGTGTGTTAATTATATATTTTTGGTGACGCCACTTAGAAACTTAGGAAATGTTACTGTGGCCGTGTGCAGAACGCAGCTGGAGTTCATGGATAATCAGCGGTCTGCCTGCCGCTCTCTGCATCTCTGCTCAAAAGAATCCCCGCTACGCTGAGCCCATGTAAATTATATAATATAGGTAGAAACTGGGTGTGTAAGTTAAGGCCATCAGGGGAGCCTGACAACCTTTAAGGAGAACCAAGTTGCTCTCCTGTAATTTGAACCCAGTATCCGAGTCCGGATCGGGGCTCGGATCGGGAAGTAAAGCCCGAGTCCCGATCAGTCTGAAACAACGTGATCGGGGCCGATTTCTGATCATGTGATCGGATCAGGACATCCCTGGTCTTAACAGTGGAAACATGCTGCAAGGGCATTTTCAGTCAACTGCTGGATGATTATAAGTTTTTAGCTTTTAAACACAAAAACAAACTTTTCATTAAAATTTAAACGGCAAGATGTTTTTTATTATTTCCAAGGGGACTTGAACAGCATCTTCTGCTGTAATTGAATATTCAACCACAGAGACGGACGAGGAAGAAAAGCAGGAATCACACTGATGTGGGTTTTATTAAAACCTTCACCATCTGAGCAGGAAAATAACACGGCGTCCATCCCGACACCTCGATGGCGTTGAGCCCATCAATCACACCGTTGCTGCGGCACTGACAGCTTGTGCGTAAACAAACAGCCTTAAATGATCCCAAACACACTCCGACATTTTCTCACCTGTCTAGGTCAAACAGCCAACAAATGGATCATCATACCTGTTTATAAGCTCACTCACCTGCGACCTTAAAGCTAATTAGCGCAGCAGGTAACACACTCCTGAGTGAGTCACTGACTGTGTACTAAATACCAGTATCTGTGAGTACACGTGTGTGTTTCGGAATGTTTTGGTGCATTGGGATGTGTGGCTTCATCACTCTGGTGGAAAGCTATTTACCCTCCAGTGCACTGAATTTCCCTTGTAACTAGTCATCTCACTCAGAAAATGACAGCAGCTTTGTGTGTTTCTGTGTGTGTTTGTGTGAGTGTGTGGTTTATTGCCTGTGACATCAACACTCTCATTTCCTCCCTTGTTATTGTTGAGCCTCTCTGGACAGAAAGACTAAATAATGAGAGCGAGTGGGAGCTGAGGGGCTGTGTGTGTCGCAGTGTG